AATGGCAGGTTTAAATTTTAGTGTTGCTTCTGTATCTGGGAGCATGACATACAGGCAGCCCCCTGGTTATGAACATCTATCTAATTTAGGCACAATTCCTACTCGCTCTTGAATGCAGGGCTTCCAATCAGTTTTCCAGTTGAAGCAAAAAAGGAACAAACCACAGTGTTAGGATTTGTGTGGTTTCTCGTAGTTGTCAGAAGAGGAATCATTTTGAAGTTGAAGCTCTGGAATGGGAAAGGGGCATACTGAGCCCTCCCCAAGGATCCTGGTTTGTGAGATTGGATTACTGGCATCAGGTACTGTGGACAGCAGTGTACATTCACAGTGAAGCAGGGTGCTGCCATCTTTGAATCTCCTTGGCCTTGTCTGACCCTGCAAGAACCAGTTTGAAGCCTTGCTTCGACAATGGAACCACTCCCTCAAAAACCATACTCAGTGCACATTGATTCAATTCTGACTCATAGCGACCATACAGTAGTACAGAATGGAATTGCCCCTGTGGGTTTCCAAGACTTCACTCTTTATGAGAGTAGAAAGCCTCATTATTCTCCTTCTGAACAGCTATTGGTTTCAAACTGCTGACCAGGGCTCTTAGTACATGCCGTATATACTCGAGTATAAGCCAACCCATCAGCTGAGGTACCTAATTTTACCACAAAAACTGCATTAAAAATGTGCTGAAAAACACGGCTTACACAGAGAAGACCATATGGCCGGCCCCACTATGAGATATGACATCCCTCACTGACCCATAGCCCTACAGGGGACAACACTGGAGACACTGGGAATTCCGCCCAATCTGATCCCACCACACCGAGGCAAAACACTAAGGGCATGGAACAGAACAACAAGGGGAGCAGAGCAACGAAATCCCCAGGGAATACCAAAAGTAGACTTTGGGACCAGGGCTTGGCGCCCCATCAGACTTGACCGGAAAACACTTCTAAAGGCCAACAAACAGTCCTTGAACTAACTACAAGCTTTTCTTTCTTGTTGATGTGTTTTATTTTTGTCATTGGCTTGTTGTTTTGTTTTATTTTGTTGCTTGGTTTTGCTCTTTTTGTGCATGTTATTTTCTTCACAGGTTTAAATTAGATAAGCTGGATGAGCAATCTGGAGGAGAAAAAAACGGGACCAACAGTTCCGGGGGGACATAGGAGAGGGGGAGGTAGGGAAAGGAAGTGGTGTTAACAAACCCAGGGACAAGGGAACAAGTGATCTAAATCGGTGGTGAGGAGGGTGTAGGAGGCCTGGTAGGGCGTGACCAAGGGTAATGTAACTGAGAGGAATTACTGAAACCCAAATGAAGATTGAACATGATAGTGGGACAAGAGGAAAGTAAAAGGAAATAGAGGAAAGAGGTAGGAGGCAAAGGGCATATATAAAGGTCTGAATAAATGTATGTAAATATTTTTATATATGGGGATGTGGGAGTAAATCTGTGCATATATGTACAGGTTTAGTACAAAGGTAGCAGATGGACATTGGACCTCTACTTAAGCACTCCCTCAATGCAAGAATACTTTCTTCTATTAAACTGATATTTCATGATGCTCACCTTCCCGGCATAATCACTGAAGACAAAGCAGATGCATAAGCAAATGTGAAGAAAGCTGATGGTGCCCAGCTATCAAGAGATATAGCGTTTGGGGTCTTAAAGGCGTGAAGGTAAACAAGCGGCCATCTAGCTCAGAAGCAACAGAGCCCACATGGAAGAAGCACACCAGCCTGTGTGATCAC